CATTACCTTGATCCACACTAAATACACAAATTGCTCAGATGATCATGCTGTCTCATAAGCACGGGATACAGCCAGAACTTACTGCAGGTTATTTGAGCACTTGCTCACAGCGAGCAGAAAGTAGCCTGGGGCCTGCTGAAAGAACTGCCAAGAAAGGATGAGACAGAGATATAAATCAGGTTTATGGGCTGTCCAGCAGACTTTACATTCAATTCTCTCTTGTCATGTTCTCATCGAGTGCAGGCCCTCACACAACCCTTCTTGCAACGGTTCTGACCAGAAACGGGTCAGACCCAACCACCCCGGGGCCACATTAGATGTTAAGGTGCAAAAAGGCAGCATGCATACTCACAGGTAGACACACAATTCTACACACCACACGTGAGGCTTCATTTGTCTGCTTTCATGTGTGTACCAGATCCACTCATTTCCTCCCAGAAAAACCCAGAATGTAAATGCCAGCAACAAGTGCAGTTTAACACAGGCTCCGAGGAAAAGAAAGAAAGGCAGGACTTCACACACGTTTGTGGGAAAGAGAAACCATTCAAGTGAGTGAGAATAAACTTCCAGTGCTGATGCTTTGTAACGTGACTGTGCCAGATGAGACGTCTTCACAAAGACCACAGCATGTGCTATTGATTCCATGACTCACTATTTCTAGTGTTAGGACTATGGCCAGATACTGTGCTCAGAAGGAAAATCAATGTCTGTTCTACACAGTTTGTCTTGTAACATAAATTGAACAGATTAATACAGAAGAAATTCCGATATTAACGTCAGACAAAACTCTGACGTTAGTAGCAATATGGAAAGAAAAAGCCACTACATCTGCTAAACTGTCCAATGGAACTGACGTGGAGCAAAATTCCACCCGGTCTGCAATGCATTGACTTCCCCCATTCTACAGTTAAACACAGGGTATGACTGCTGTTGGCTTCACAGAGGGCATCTGTTACACAGGAAACGTCCAGGCTGGCTTTGAGAAAATCCTGAAGACGTAAGGCAGGACAGGCTCCAGCAGAGTGAAGAACCCTACGGCCCCCTGCCCCCCGCCTTGGGGTCTTCAGTGACACTTCAAGCTCTCGCTCAGCCTGACTGAGCCCAAGCTCTCTGTGGCACGACTACATCCTCTGCTTTCTCAGCTGGCAGGGGTGTTTTGACCAGAAATCCCATCTGGATTCTCAAAACCTTCCCAATTTAGACCTCATCAAGACTTGCACACATCTACAAGGGCCTTTGATTTCGAGACGCAACAAGATTCCCAGACCTGCAACAGAAAAGCTCCTCTGAGTATCTTTCCACCCACTCCAGCTGAATGACTGGTAACAGACTGTGCCTGTGCTTCTTGGGTAGAAGAAGTATACGTATGTGGACATGTGTGCACAGGTATTCTTCCTGGTGAAGGCGTGCTTTCTACTGCGTTGGGGCCGTTCCTGCTTGAAAAACATCACAGCATCCTCACGCACTGCCCGGTACCACGGGTCTGTACCAGGAAATGCCCGTGCCGGTTCCTTTGGTATTCCTCCCGCAGGGCACCCGCTGCCACCACGAGGAATATGGCCAGGGTACGTCATCAGAAAGCACGAGGCTTGAAGCTGCCACTTATTTTCGCTGGTGGCCACAGAAGCGACGTCCCAGGGCTTTGTTTCCATCACTTTCCTCTTCCTGCTGGAGAATTTTGGTGGCACAGTGCGGACACCAAACGCCAGCGGCCACTGGTGAGTCATGCAGATGGCAGGACTGAATGGATTTGACCCAGAGGTTACCAGCCTTCCAAAGTGGAAAAATAGATGGCACCAAATGTTCTCAGCAAAACAGCCCATCTTTGCATAAGAAAATATCCTCTGTGTGCTTTCCTTTCAGGAAAAAAAAGGGGAGGGGGGAGACAAACTTCCAACCTTCCTAAAAAGGCAGTGAGCTTTCTGCACTCCTGACCTTTCACTTGCAGAGGGAATGCCCATTTCCTGCTGGGCTATGGCTCTGATCATCCTTGCCAGAGCTAAGATGCACACGAGCTGGCTCACCCTTGTTTCCACTGCTGCTGGAGCACACCAAGGACACTGTGTGCCCTGCTGCCTTCAGCACCGAGCCAAGCAATGCGATCCTTCACAGGACCTTTTACAGCACTGAAGAGCTGCACAGAGGAGCCCTACAGGATGGCATGGAGTGCAGCAGCGCAGGGAGGTGGTGAAGCATCTTCTTCTTTTGCTGTCAAGAAGATCAAATGGTCAGTCTGAAAGTGAGGCACGATGAACTCCCTGAAGCCTTGGGAGCAGAAAGACTAGAATCACACAGAGCAGGAGGGGGAAGTGGAAGTGCTCACCCAGAGACAAAAGAAAGGTTTACCCAAGTATTGCAGTATGACAATCATGCAATGCAAATACCCCAGTAAAGTGAAAACCTGCAGTCAGTACAGGAAGCCTGAGGTTTCAGCATTCACTACAGACGCCAGCTAACAGAAGCACTGTGGGAGCTGTATCTGCCTGTGCCCCTTGTCCCAAGAAGCCCAACAGCAAACATTTGTGCTCAGCTGCTACTTTAAAACGCCACAGTCACTGTTCCAACAGCCCTCCTGCTACCTCTTCCATCAGAGCTGTGCCTGCAGACCCCAGATGAGGCCGGGCTGCTCTGCTTTATCCAGAATAACACAAACGTGCAACGGCAGGAAGAGAAGAGGTTTGCACCTGCAGCGCCCTGCCCGTCTTTCTCTTCTGTTATTTGGGGTACTGCCAACACATGACCCAGCCCCACCACCCCACTTTTTCTTTCTGAATCAGTCATAAGGCTGAGTGGGAACCAAAGGCACCTGGGTGTGATGCCAGTCAGCTCCTGCAAAAAGCAGCTCACCTCATACGTGGGGCCAAGGGAGAACGAGGAACACCCCTGAGCTGTTCCTGGTCACAGTGCAAGCGTGAGCCCTTCTCAGACTGGAACCCTTTGGGCATTCCCTCTTTAAAAACAACAGCAACAACAGCAGCACTGCAAGCTCGTTGAAGTCCTGTGACCAAATCACCAGAACAGAAACCAGGAGGGGGAGATGGCAGAGGTCTGAAGGAGCTGCAAAAGGAGCGTTAGGGCTCCAGAGGGGTTGGTTAGTTTGGTTTGTCATACCAGGTAGGAAAGCAGGGAAGTGAGAGAGTTTTGTATTAACAGAGTTCAAAACAGACCTCAGAGCTCTGATTCTGGCTGGGAGTCCTGTGCACCGTACCCAGCACCAGCCATCTGCCTGTGCCTTGCAGCACGTTGCTCCAGCAAGCAGGCCGTGCACTTACTGCATTGTCTCTGCTATCTCAGACAACACACAACAGCATCATTGTAACCCCCAGCTCCATCTTGGATGCAACCCCTGGTTGTATCCATGGAGTCCAACTCCTCATATTGTGCAGAGCAGGCAGTGCCCTGCATGGTGCCACAGAGATCATCGCTGTGACAGACAAATAGCAAACCAAAGCAACCGCTGCTTTTAGAGTTACCAACACGAGAGAGGTGCTCAGCACACTCAAATCCCAGACTGCTTTTGGGCATGCGTTCCCATCTTTGTCTTTCCCCATGGTGAGTTTAACTCCCACCTCACTACTTATTGCTGTGAGGGCAAATTTATGGCACCTCGTCTCACACATCTAACAGTCAGCTAGCCAAGACCGAGCTAGCACTGCTTAGGCTCCCTGTGAAGTTAGTGCAAATAAATATGCACCTCCAGAGGGCAGATAACTTGATCCCACCTCTTCTGTGCGACAGTGATTTCTATAGAGAAGCCTACAGAAGCTGACAAACCGACTGGTTTAAACTAGATAGCTAGCTGCTGCGTGGTCGAGGTTCCTGGAGATTAAGGGGCACGTGGACAAGGTGCTATGCAGTGCACAACCCCATAGACTCTTGAACAGAATTTGGCGCATCTTTCACTAATTATGTCAGATGAAACCATTCATTACTTAAGACGGCCTTGAGCCACCTTCAGAGCAAGTCATCCTCACCAGAACATGAGCAAAGCTGGGTCGCACTGTTACGCCTGTTTGATTTCCAGGTGGCTGAGACTCCCCACCTGGAACCTCTTCTGTTCCACTTTATCACCTGCTTTTTTCCCCTCCAAAATCCTACAGGATATAGCTCGCTCCTACCTTCATTTCCATGGTTGGCACACGGTGCTGAAGTTAAGTTGCTCCCACATGACCATAAGTCCTGTTTGGGTTTGAGAAAGTTTTAGGCAGAGCACTTTACGTTAAACAAATCTGTTGTTCCCAGTTCGCTACTAAAGATCAAGGGCGAATTTGTGCAGAAAAGCTTGTACTTTCTTCAGCTACGTTACTGACTTTTGGAGAAGAAAAAAAGCCAAGCCAGCACCTCAAACTGAGGACAGGGAAAAGTAACACGCACTTGCCTTCCACATACAGTCAAGCAGAAGGTTCAAGCAGTCAAGTTCTCCCAGTGGTGCCAGTTTTTACAAAGCCTGAGAGCTGCTCTTCTGCTCTGCAGAGCTGAAAACAGACTCTGCTCCTTGTTTCCACAAGAGAACCAACTGCAGAGAAGCAGAAGAAACGGAAAAGAGAGACACTCACATGCAAAAGCTTCAACGTACGACAGCTTTGCAGGGAGGCTGCAAACATTCATGCAGAGCGCTGCGTGGTGAAACAGAAACTGTGATTAAATCACCGTGAATGCACAAAAGGGAAGTTGCTGATGACAAAAGGGGTAGGATGTCCAGGAATAGCTCTGGCCCGTAAGATCAGCAGACGTGACTACCATTTTCTAGCTGACACCCCTCGCCCCACAGCTTCTCCTATCAGTGCCTGTGCAGACGCCCAGCACGCAGGCTGTTCGCATCCCATGAACCGCTGACATCCGCTCACCATCAGTGCCAGAGGCACGCAGTCCAAAGGATTCCATCCCTCGGCCTTCCTCCCTCAGAAATGACGGAGGCATTACGTGCACAGCTCTTGTGAGGAGAGCCCCAAACTCTACCGGCGCGACCGCTGCCATCAACTCAGGATTCGTTACGTGATCTGCCCTGAAAATACCAGGCCACGTGGCTGCACTTGGCTGCCCAGCACACTGAGTCCTTCTTGACAAGCTCCCTCCCAGGATACTGAGCGAGTCCAATCCCGGGTTACGCAGGAGGATGAGAGCAAGCTGCTGCAAAGGAGGTCAGCAGAAGCGGGAGCCTTTCCTTGCTCCACCTGCACGGCTGGGGCAGAAGTCTTGCAGACTGACGCACAGCTTCCCCACCCAATGGATTTTCTTAGAGATGGAAGAAGAGAGAAGAAAAGGTCCTGGATAAATACACAGGGAATTACAACTGGGTCAGATATTTTATAGGACATTAAAAAAAATAAATACCTTCCTCCAGTGAAACTGCAAAGGAGCAACAGGTTTTCTACACAACTCCAAGAGGACAAAACGACTATTTGGCTTACAGTCAGACTGGCTGCTCTCAGGTAAGAGATTGCTCCAGCAGGCAGTTGGCTTGCACTCCCTGCAATAAACACAGTGCTGTGACTCTCAAGAACCAAGGTGTGGTCTTTGTGCTGTTTGTTTGCCAGCCTTTTCCCCAGCTGTAGGAAAGGTGCTCATGAGGTGGAACTGCAGAAGAACAGCGAAAGGTGAGGCCAGGATTCTCCTACACGAACGTTCAGTGGACAGTGAGGGTTTTGGCAACGCTGAACAACTAACAGGTATGTCAGGTCCCAAGGAGACTCGTGGGAAGCCAGGTCTGGATCCATCTCCACTGGCATGCACAGGACAGCTGAGACAGCAAGCTCTGCTGCGTCTCCTGTGCAACCACGGGTAAACAGGAGTGGAAGAGAAGAAAGCGCCGAGCGCACGGGCACCATTCCAGGCCAAGCAGGACCATTCTCTCTCAGCTCACTGCTGATTGCCACTAAAGGACATCTATGTCCCACAGCATGCCACATTTCCAAAGATCTGGAAGGGATTCAATCAACTGTTCTGCAAGCAGGGAAACACTCCTGCTGTTTTCCAAGCAAAGGTGAGGAAAATGAAAGAGAAGGGCAAAGCGCCTTGCTCAAGCTGCCCTGTGAGCCAGAACTCAACTTCTCCACCTCCAGCCTCCCAGGCCTGTTCTCATTCCTGCAGGCGGCAGCACCTCTCAGATCTGCTCCAGGTGAGCAGGTAACACAGGAGTGCTGCATACCACAGAGGAACAGCAGTCACAGCGAGAAACGGCTCAAGGATTCAAAGGTTTGGTATCACAGGACCACAGCATTGCCAAGGTTGGAAGGCACCTCAAGGATGACCAATCTCCAACCCCCTGCCACAGGCAGGGCCACCAACCTCCCCATTTCATACCAGCCCAGGCTGCCCAGGGCCCCATCCAGCCTGCCCTCGAACACCTCCAGGATGCACGGGGCATCCACAGCCTCTCTGGGCAGCTGTTCCAGCACCTCACCCTGTCCCTGCTGGCCACCTCTCTTCTGATGGAGCCCAGGATACCATTTGCCTTCCGACCTACAAGGGCACACTGCTGGCTCACGTTCAGCTCTCCGTCTATCAAGACCCCCAGGTCCCTCTCCACAGGGCTGCTCTCAAGCACCGCTCCTTCCAGTTTGCATGGACGCCTGCGATTCCTCCGGCCCAAGCGCCGAACTCTGCGCTTTGCCGTGCTGAACCTCATCAGGTTCACCCATGCCCACCTTTCCAGCCTGTCGAGGTCCCTCTGAACGGCATCCCTTCCTTCTACTGCGGCAACCGCACCACTCAGCTTGGTGTCGTCAGCAAATTGCTGAGGGTGCACTCCATTCCGTCACCGATGTCACTGACAAAGATGTTAAAGAGCACCGGACTGTGGGAACAGAAAGAGACGCCGAGGTTTACAATAGGTGCAACAGCACACATGCATCACCAGAGCAAAACGCTCGGTGCCCAGAGGCACTGAAGAAGCTTCGATGTGTGTTCAAGCAAAAGGCCCTGCAGTTGCAGGCTACTTTGAGCACCTAGTGAATCTTAAAGCTTCCACGTAAGCATTTCTAGGACTGTGACTTTGATTTGTGTCTGGCTGAAGAAATGAAAACTATCATGACATGAGCCCGGCTCTGGAAAAGGCTTGCTCCCAACTAGCTCCTATTTACAGACCAAGTTCTGCCCTCTCACGTTTACATGCACCTCCTATAAAGATGAAGCACTGTCCCCCGAGGTCGTACACACACACCAGACTCCCCAGCGCTCCAGCTGCCAGAGCCAGCTTTCTAAGTGTTCCTATCAGGCAGCACCCACTGCTCGCTCTGCACAAAGACATGGGGCCGTCGGGCACCCACACGTCATTGCTGCCCCCCTCTGCACATGTGAACTAATTTCAAGACCCCCAGTCAGATCTGCAGCCTTCACACCTCTGGCCGAGCTGCAGATGTACTGTAAGGGAGCAGAGTGACCCTGAACTGATTTGATCAACTAGGCCTTCATGGGCTCATTTCCTAGAGTAACATTTGCACCTATCTCAGGCAGAAATGCAAGACTACAGAGCAAGCAGGTGGCCACGTGAAAGGTGCCGTATTTTAGTTTGTTAAGGAGTTCGGGTGCTAAACATTTGTAAAGCATTTTCCTTGTCTCCCTGAAAGCAGCAGCTCAGCTCTCTCCCGGTCAGCCAACACAGCTGAAACCAAAAGGGCACAGCGACATTCTAAGTCACAATCAGCATCTTTTAGAAAAACAGGTTTCTCACCAAAAACCATTTCCAGCTTCTCTCCTTAAAATACCTACAGTTTTCAAGTGCTTTTTTGCAAGTAAGCACATCCTCCTGGTACCCCTCTCTGCACAGTGCTTCTGGATCCTGATGGCGTGGGGATAATGGAACAGCTGCCAACCTCCACGCTGTCAGCTCAAAGTCACAGCAAGCTGCTCCTCCAACAATCCCACTCAGTAAAGGTCCTGCAGCTGCAGTTTAACCAGCAATCCCATTAAGAAGGCATCAATGCCTCTTCTCCCAATGCGGCAGGTGAAACTGCACTACGTCAATACTACAGCTGGAGTATAAAGCCTGCCTGATTTTTAGGCCAAGTAAGCAAGTGCCAGCCAGAAAGCTTGGAGGATCCTGAAGCCAATAAGCGCTGCTTTTTACATCCTAACTGCTGATAAAACCGTGCTGAAGGACAGAATGAACTTCAGCAGCACAGCCATTGCTCACCGCCACCACGGTCCACTGAAGGGAATCTGAACTAGACAGAGCCTGCCTTCAGTTCTATTTGTGCTTTGAGTCCACCTTTGATAAGGTCACACCTTTAAAGAGCCACGCACAGTGTAGCAGATGGGAAAAAAGCTCTCAGCTATTCCCAGACTCTGCCAATAGCATCTAGTTATTGATGTTGAAGGGGAGAACAGCCAATAACAGTCAGTAGGTCGGTTGGGGTTTTGGAGTTCTCTGTTCCCCTGGTGCGCAGGGATGCTTTCTGCTGAGTGGAATTGCTGCAGCTGATGGTGCAGGGGCAAACACCCACCCAGGCAGACTAAGGCTCCTCACTGCAGAGCTGTGGCTCCAGAGAGCAACTCCTACCAGGAGCTCTGCAAAACACCCTGATCCCAAAGCTCACTATTGCTGTCGTGTTAGAGAGGAGTCTGCACTCAGACGTTCCCTTCCCAAATCGTGCCGCACAGCTGTTTCTCTCCTGGTGCTGCCTTCATGCAGTGCAGTCACCTCTCAGAGTGAGACACAAAACCAAAATAACGTCACTAAGCTGAACAAGGAGTGGATCAGTGACGGCACAGAGCCATCACAGCTGTGTGCTGCACCAGCCCACCCTGCAGTCACGGTGTCAGCACTCAGCCACACCGTGCTGCTCAGCGGAGGGCTTCAGCCCTACCTTACACTGCTCACAAGGGGGTTTCTACTGAAAGCCAGGGAAGCAGCAGATGTGCAGGGAGGAAAAGCTCCTCCGTCCTTAACTATGGCTCACGACCAGATACGTGACTGAGAAACTGCACTGTGATACCCCAGAATCAGCAAGAAGCAAAGCATGTGGTCATTCTTACAGGAGGTCCAGAAGTGAAAGAGCAACTTAAAAAGAAAAGCAGAGGTGAACAGATCTGCTTCAGTGCTTGCTTAACTCAGACAAATGTGACTTGGAGAAGGAAACTGAAGTTTTTAGCTGAGCTTGGAGGGGACTTACTGAGCAGCAGGTCAGCCTGGATCCAGCTGAGCTCCTGGATCAGCTCTTTTCTGTTGGCCCAATCTCCTGTGAAAAGCCAAGAGCAGAAATCCAGCTCCGAGGGCTCAGAAGGAATAAATGACAGAGCCCTGGCCGCCTGAATTTTTTTTTTCCAGGAAAGATGTGAAGAATAAAGTTGTGCCAAAAACCTTCCTCAGTTTTCCTTGTTCCACTACCAAGCAGACAAAAAGCATCAGCTTTTCTCATTTGCACTGAGTTCAGTACCTCAAATGCTGTGGACCGCTGACATTGTTTGATACGAAACACGTTCTTAACGCAGAACATTTCTTACACCCAGCCAAGCATTAGCAAAGCCTCTCGCCTCTCTCACTATCCTCTTCCTAAACTGCAACCCTGAGCTCCCCTACCACGCTGCTGCTGTTTGCCAAGTGATTATTACTCAGCAGAACTGCCACGGGAACAGAGGAAGACACTTCTCATTGCTTCCCAGCTTCTAAGCACACATGCTTTAAGTCAACTGTTTTGCTTTTCTCCAGCTTCACTTCCAGCCTCGGGCACGGACATCCCTGGATCTGTCTGGTCTCACTACCATTGCTAATGCAACATCTAAAGGCTGCTGCAGGAATAGGAAACTGGCATCTGTTTGTGCCCACAGGCCCCAGGCACCATTTCTCAGCTTGCCTCCAGCAAACAAATCCCTTGGTAACAACAAGGCACGTTAGGTTCACTTTTCCATTCCAAGGAAATGGGCAAAACTCAGCGCTAATTTTCCAGCAAAGTGTGCATTTCATTCCTTTTGTTGAGCAGCTCTTGCACAGACAGTTACCCAGCAGTGGAAATAAAGCTAGGCAAGGAAACAGACCTGCGAGAACCACGTCCTGTTTGTCACACTGTCAGTGAGACACTGAGTCATGGCCTTCCAAGAGCCAACTTCAGAGCCAGCAGGCACTCATGTGGGGAATCTCACGGAAACCAAACACCAGCATCGCATTCAATGCACACACATGCACAGTCCTGTCTTGCTTGGATTTGAGAAACAAGATCCTGAGGTAAGGTTGATCAGAACAGCTTTTCTTCTGAATAACAGCGCAGGGACATTCTCCTGCTTAGGTACAACGAACACGGTTCTCTCCCAGAACAGCCCAGGCTCTTCCACTGTGGCACCAGGCAGACCAGAACCGTGACAGCTCTGCACTGAACAACTCCAGCATTTGTTTCAGCCACCAGCAGCAATTTCTCCCAGTACGAACATTCCATAAGATCAACACTCACCGCATCAGGAAAATCCCATTTCAGTCTGTAGAGAACGCAGTAAGCCTTAAACACGCACCCAGGAATCTTCTGATGCTTCACGTCTGTTTCCACGTGAGCCCATGGAGGTACGTGCACAAACCCCACTGTTTGTTAGCAGGACTGGAAGCCCTGCTTTGAAAATACACCCAGAGTGTTCTGGCGTTAACAGAAACACTGACGGATCTCAAATGCATGATGATAAATTCTATCTCAGAACATACCGGCCTACTAACTGTTGCCCAGGATTCTTACCAGTCAGAATTGAATTCCCTGTCTCATTCACCATCTGGGCAGCATCCTTGGTTCGTCTGAACAACAGGACGTCGCACCATCCCGCCTCATGGCAGAAGAGTGAATTATAAAGACACTGCAAGACTCAACTGCACAAAATGCATGTAATATGGAAAGAGACAGCCCATATTCCAACAAGCTTTGATCCCCCTGAAAATTAACATCCAGATGAGCTCGTGGGTTTGAAACGTCGCTGTTTGGCCAATGAATCAGCCACTGAGATATTCCAGTCTGCGTTTCTGATCCACCTGGTAAAGCACCACAACAGCTTGAGGTATCCAAGGATCTGTCAGTTTAGAAATACTGATAATCCCATCATTCAACCCCAGCCTCATCACTCTGCCAACCAGCAGAAAAAATGGTCATGGGTAAAAGCCAAAGGGACGTGAAAAAGTCTTCTTATTTTGCTGAACAGCCACACACCATTTGCATCAGCACTGCAGAAAAACACTGCAGAAAAATCAGCTGTCAGACAGCTTCTGCTTCTGCATCACATCCTGACCAGAAGGGGGAAAAAGGCAATTTCCAGTATTAAGAACAGCACTGACACAACAGGGACATCGACTGGAATGCAGGCCCACAGAACAGTGGCGAGTTACAAAGTCAGGGAGAGGTAAAACTCGCAGCAAAGCGCCAGCTCCTGCGTGAGGGGGAGTTCTAAAGGAAACAGGGCAATTTGACTGGTGGGAGAACGGCACGGAGGGGAGCTCGTGGCTTAAAGAACTTAAAGCATAATGAAGCAGGCAAAAAGCCATCGCTGAATGGAGACCCGTCAAGCACAGCTGGTGTTCAAGCACTTCTGCTGGCATCCTTTTCGAATCCTCTATTTTCCTTGTGAGAGCAAAACCAGACCAGCTCAGTACCTCGTGCCGTACAGCTGAGCCTTCCACAGAGAAACTGAAGTAGTTTCCCAGTCTCCATCACACAGTCTATTACTTGTCAGCTGTGAACAGCTGTGCTCTGAGATAAAGAGGTTTCCAGCTCTCCAGATCAGAGCATTACTTCCAACAGCATCTCAAAAACAGGCCCAACTGGGGAGAACCCAGAGCGAAAAAAGGAAGTCCTGCAGGACACGGCGGCACCTGACGGCCAAACTCGTGATGTTCAGTGAGGAGGGAGAGGGAGCAAAGGGCAACAGGCACGAACCACAACTCTGCACACAGCTGACACTGCCCTTCCAGAGTCCTTCCTGGAGAAACAGCGCGTGAACCTTCATCACCCTCATCCAGCAGGGACGAAACTGTGGAAGAGAAGAGGGGGATTTGCCCAAGATCAAAACAGCACTGCGGGGAAAGAAAGGAAAGCTCACACAACAAGTTTAACGGCCTCTCCAATGATGCTCGTGTCACCATCCCTGTTTTTCCATCAGGAAAGAAAGGTCAGAAAAGCGACCGTGTGGTAGGACACGGCAAAGGACGTTGAACCTGGGAGTGCAGGGGAGAGGAAAGGATGGAGAGGGCTGACAAGCCTAGAATCAACTCTTTGATGCGCATTTGTGATGCCGCACAGAAGCTGCATCTCAGGACAGAATGATTACCCATTGCTCAATGCTGCACATCTTTACAGTCCCCTCAGACATCAATCTTAGGATAATAACTGTAAACCTGCCAGACCATAGAGCTTTGTGACTGAGTGGAAACTTATCGCTATCTGCATCATGGGAAATGGCCAGTGCTCTGTTTCTCCCCCTCCAACCACATTACAGCGTGGCAAGCAGCTACTGAAAAGCACAGGCTGCTATAAAGCAAAGGTTGTCACAGCCACAGGACACACCTCCAGTCAGCTTCCATTAGATGGGCTCCAACTGCTGCCCTTAAGACAACGCTTCATCCATTCACAAACAAGCTCATTAATGATGAGAATCCTTTGCATTATTTTCATCACAGCACTGAAGCACTCACAGCACAGAGAGGCTCCTTAACGGGCAAGGTGCTTCCACAAACCCCTCTGCACACACTTGTTCTGCCTGCTGGCCTACAGACAAATGTTTCCACAGCTACATACTTTCATTTAGGGAAGGTTCTCGTGGAGCAGTTGAATAACCAAACTACCAGGAAGGCTCCCACTGACTTCAAGAGCGGACAGACCGAACCACTGCAGACCGGGCACTGCAGAAGTTTGAACTCACTCTAAAACAAACAAAGTCAAGATCCCACAGCCTGTACAAGGCACAGGAATGAGGAACACTGTCGGTTTGGTGGCTCCCACCCAGTAACATCACCTGCCTCCAGCCCCCTGCTTGACCCAAGGCACGATGCAAGGCTGCAGCCCAACGCCAGTCATGGTGATCTGCAGGAGGGCTGGCTGTGAAGCCGTCGTCTCCCAGCTGCTGGCCCCAGCTCTCTGCAAGGCCTGACCCCTCAGCACAGCCATTTACAGACCTGCTGGCGCCAGCCAGGAGCACAGCTCAGCTCCTTGCCCTCTTAAGGAGCACCAGCAGCCCCCAGCCCCCAGCCATCACCTTCTCAGTGTGAGACCACGCACTGCACCGCATTACGGAAGTGATCCAAGCTAAAAGTGCCCCATTTCATTTTTGTCTCGTCAGTTCAAAAACAAACCTGACAGAGAACAAGGCACGTATAACTCCACCTATACGCCTGCCTTGAGAACAGGCATCGCTGACAGAAGGGCATGCAGGCCCCTTGGCAGTCCTAGCATCTGGAACCAGTCTCACAGAAATCTCCCAAGGGAACGAGTGGCAGCCCACAAGTCCCGTCCCATTAAAGCACGTCCAGTTTAAAACCCAGCACACACCAGGTGTTCCAGCTCCTGTGATACTGCTGGGTGCAGTTTGCTTCAGTGCACAGCTGCAGTTACACCTCGCTCAGCACCAGGCCCCCCAAACCCAGTGCTGAGTCTCACTGCAAGCAGTGGATAACAGTGCTCATAGAAACCAGGCGCAGGAATTTCAGAGGAAAGGCAAACTACTCAGCTGTAAACTGGCTGTTCCCTTCCATGCCTGAACATTTCGTATACTAACGTGGCCAGTCAACATCCCCTGAGCTTTTCACTGCCCAGATCTTGCCTCCAAGATACAGGTCTGCCCCAATATGGGAGAAACAGATGGAGAAGCTCAAACTGGGAACTGGGGATCACGTCCCAGATTGTTCCTGAGGAAGTTCTCTAGCTACACAGTGCAGTATCAGCACCTGAACTCCCATTTGTCTAAAAGGCTACGATTCAAATAGTGCAGCAAATCCTTCCCTTCTCTGATAACCTCCCCTGGTCCAGCACCTACACATAGCCACCACAGGAAAGCAAGACCATCTCTAATAAATCTTACCTACTGAAAAGGTGGCTAGCAAACAAAAAAATGTGAAAGAAAGCACCCTCCAAGGTGCACAGGCCACAGAAACTAAAAGCAAAGGGCCCAAAGCACAGCATTTCCCATCAGCCTCATTTAGCAGCAAAGCAGGGTTTGGGAAAACAAGGCCTCTTCGGAGCTGCCATAGGGCAAGGCTGAAATCCCAGAACTACAAACAAAATCCCCGCACACATCCGTATTCAGAGGCAGTGACGTTTCAGCTTACAGTCAGCCAACACGCATCGCACTGCAGCAGCTCCCAGAGCAATCCTGTTCACAACTGGAAATGGATTACATCAGCACAGCTCCACCACCCACATAACGCAGAGCAAACTGTCAAACATGGCATCACAAACGGTTATTTTGTACCCCCTGAAGGGTGCCCCCCTCAGCGTAAGGATTTGCCCTATTTTATTACTACATCATTGCTCCCACACAAGTTCCCATCACAGGTATCTATCGGTGCTGACATTCTTACACCAGCGAGGGATTCTCAGGTGCGTGCACTCTTCTTCCCCATCCCAAAGATGCACTGAGCAGATCTGCCCCTCGGGGTTCCTCCTGCATCCCCCACCCAGGAGGCACCAAGCCCCGAGCTGGCAAAACCGTCAGATGCCAGCGGTGAGGAAGAGGAGGAGGAGGCCTTCCTCGTCAGCCTCTCCAAGCTCATGAAGGAGAGGCGCGCATCCAATCCCAGACCTCGACTTCAAGCACAGCGCATACCTGGCAGGGGCTTCTAGGACGGAGGATGTTCTGGGGATGGAGGAGCCTTTGGGACAAAGAGCTGGTGTGCACCGCATCTCCCTGACTCCTTCCTTCTTTCCAGTTAACCTGTGCAAGATTTACAAAGCATGGAGAAGCTTGGAGCCTACGAGCTGGTAAGCAGGCAGCGTCCCCCATCCCATGGCTCTGTGCTCCAGGTTTGGGGAGGGTTCATCCATCTTCACACCGTCTGCCTCCGCAGGTAACAGGGAGATGGCTGTAGAAGAACCTGTACGGTGAGCTGGGCAGCAGCCCCAGCAGCACCAGTGTGGGCAAGTGTGGACCCAGCAGCACTACGAGGGGTGGCGGTGTGGGGGGGAGAGGCACCAAGTGCCTCCGTTTCCCCCCTCCAAGGGGTTTAGTGGGGCTGGGGCTCAGCGCTGTGACTCGCACCCCGCAGGCTGGTCCTCCTGTACAAGCAGCACCTGAAGGGCGAGGACGACAAGCCGCTGCCTCCCAGCAAACCCTGAAAGCAGCACAAGGTCTCCAAGGGCACTGAGATGAGTGAGAAGAGCAGCAGGAGCTAGAAGGAGAAAGGCTGGGAGCAGGAGGGTGGCCAGGGGTGAACCTTGGGAACCACCCCACACCCTGCTCTGCCTCCCTGTATCCATCCCCACACTGGGCACGTGGCGAGGGAGTTCTGGGAAGGATGAGGTCAAGACCAGAGTGGAGAACTGAGCTTCCGGAGGGAGAGCAGAGGGATGGGGCGGGTGCACGACCCAGCCTGGCACCCACACCCCAAACCTGCTTTAGGTTGCAGGTGGCATCAGAGATGGCAAAGCTGGAGGTGGGAGCCACCCTTGAAGCCAGCAAGGAGGACCCAACAGAGGCCCACAAGCAGGGCTGGCCACGGGAGCAATGTGCCAGCCCCACGGCCCTGGCACAGCCCCTCTGGGGGGTGTCCCAGCACTCGCTGCGCCCACAATGAAGCCTACAAGGGCCTCTTTGCCAGCTTTTACTCCAAAGGCAACCACCCCATCATGTCTCTGCTGGCCAAGAAGAAGCTGCTGGCCCAGGTGAGCGAGGCAGAGTGCACGCACTGCCACTAACACCACTGCACTGCCACTAACAGCACTGCCTGGAGGGCAATGGGGCGGCGAGCAGCACTCACCCCAACCCAGAGCCCAGCCAGCTGGCAGCCAACCCCCACTTCAAGGAGCACAGGAGCCCGGAGACACAAGGATTGAAGGACGCATCCAGGGGAGGCTGGAGTGAGGCAGGACCAGTCCACAGTGCATCCCCTGGCAGGACAGACAGACAGCCTTACCCAAGAGCTGAGGATGGGGGCCCTGCACCCACTGTGTCCACGGCCTTCTGTCATGCATACTGCAATCAGCTGCCACCCCTTTGGGGGATGCTTCTCCAACTTGAAGGATTTCTTGGAACCACAACCCGAGAACACGGAGGACGACTGGGAGCAGCCCAAGACCTGTGAACCAAAGCGTGGAGCAGAGAGAGCCCGCAGGCAGCCACCTCTGCTGCTGTCAAAGCCTGCTGGGTGCCCCCTGGGGCCGGCTTCTGACCACTGACACAGAGCCACCAAGGACTGGCCAAACCCAAAGCCATCATTCCCAGACCCAGCTGTGCCATTCCACTCACCCCACTGCCTCAGCCCCAAACGTTTACAAGGGAGAGATGCTGCGCTTCCTGATGAACTTCAGCAACCCTCCAGAGCACCAAAAAAATCAGGCACCCCACCAAATCTCTCTCCATTATCTCTTTCGTCATCCCTGCTTTCCCCAGCCCTGCGACAGCCAGCTTGCACAGCCCTCCAACCCCAGGCACCACCACCATCCCACAGGGGCTCACTGCAGCACCAGCTCTACCCCACAGCCACATGGCACAGCCAGCACACCTACAGCACTCCACACGCCTCCGCTTGCCACTGCAGCACCAAGCTGCTGCCTTGCTCTGCATCAGCCCTGGCCCCTCAGAGAGGCAGCAGCGGGATGCCGCAGCACTGGGATGCTGTCAGAGCCGCTGTGTCCCACGGCCACAATGAGCTGGACTGTGTCATTTCTGAAAAAAGATACAGGAGCAGAATGAGTTGCAGAGGTTTTCTTGCTACAGATGCTGTGTCCCCGTGCAGTTTTGTAGAGCCAACACAGACACGCAGTGGATCTTCCCATCTTGCCATGCTGTGCCCAGGATGTCCTGCAGCTCCCTGGTACAAAGCCCCTGCTCCCTCCTACAAAACCATGCCATTTTAGTTCTGCACTATGCTGCCTTGTAGCAGGGGCTCCTGAGCTTATAAAGGGCTCAGGACAGCAGCGAGCATCCATGGGAAGCACACTGGCTGCTCCGAAATGGGTGCTGGAGAGCAGCATCCAAAATAAACCTCACCGGATGGTCCCAGCTTCACCTTAGCAGGTGTGTTTCCTGAGAGTCTCCTGCACAAACTCAGACTTACCTCTGCTTTTCTTTTCTGCATTGTTTTTGGCGTCTTTATTCCAGCCCCAGGGTTCACAGCTGTTTCCTGGAGCATCCATGTGTCCCAGTGTGGGTGCCACAGGCTGAAATCAATGTGCAGTGATGGCATGGAGAGGCCTCCTTGCTCTGGAACCCACCACAGACAGACAGACAGACAGCACCTGGGATGTGATCTGTGGAGAGAAGAGGAGCACTCTTGGTGGAAGCCAGATGACCCAGGACCACTCCTGAGGAATCTGCAAACCAGCACAGAACTGTAGAGCACATCTCCAGCTGCTTTTTGCCTCTGCAAGCTCCCACTGAGCCACTGCAAATGACCCAAAAGCTTTGCTGCAGCCTCAGGACTTATTTCTCTTGTGCCAGCTGCTCCCCACAACTGTGGGGTGTCTTGAGCACCTTGCTATGAGCTGTAAAATGGGAGGAGCAAGGAGATGCTCATCCCCAAAGGGGCACTTGCTCATCCACAAAAAGGGAAAAGAAACACAGCAGGTGCAGGGGTCAATCAGCTCTGAAGGACCACTTCTGCTGTTTCCATGGAAAGGAAAGGATTTGGGATAGAAAGCAGAAACAAAAACTTATCCCCAGGTCACTCTATGCTGCTCTAAGGGTTAGACCAGGTGAGAAGAGTTCCCCTGCTGCTGAAATAGGTCAGAGCAGCTTCATAAAGCATCGCAGACCCAGCCAGTTCTGCATCCTCCAGTGCGCACCGCAGAAAGGCATCACATGTGTGGCAGTGTCCAGGCACGTTTTGCCCAAGAGCCCTGACACCAAAAGGCACAAAAGTGACTCCAGCACACGAGCGAGGACGTGGGCACAGGGCTCAAGTCGTTCCTCAGAGACTGCGAGCAAGGGCGTGAGAGCAAAGTGAGAGATGCCGTGATCCTCAGGGTATCTCAGCCTCGCAGAGAAATTGTGACTGCAGCCTTGGAGGTACAGCTGGGCTGCTTAAGAACACTGAGCATCCACAGCTGACCCACACCTTTATGAGCCGTGTCCACAGCTGGTGTCCACAGCTCCCTCAGATGCAGGAGTAAAGCTCAGGCTCACCCAGGCTGTGTCTTTCCCTGACCTGCTCCCTTTGGCAGGGAAAGCTGGCAAAGCTGGGCCCATGGCCACCTCTGACCTCCTGAGCTGGTCGCAGGGTCCCTCAGTCAGGCGCAGGGCAGGAAGGAAGCTGAGACCCAGTCGGTTCCTTGCTGCTCACTGCCATCAGAAAGGTCCACGCACTGCTTGGGAAGCACAATGCCACCTGGGGAAAAGAGAAAGCAGGAACAGGCCATGCAGGTGGCTGTCACCAGCAGAAGGCCAGATCCTTCCGCCTGATATCTACTCCTCTTTCCAGTCCTGATGTGGCCCAGAGGATGCACAAGTATCGGTGCTCGGCAGCAGGACTCAGGGAAGGATCTGCAGAATTGGAGCTGATTCAGCTCTCCGGCCTGGCAAAGGAGCAGAGCCGTAGGGCTGCCATGAGCTGCAGGACTGCCCTGCTGTCATTGGGGTGGTGAAGCTGAAACCAGCTGGCTGGCAAAGTCCCGTCTTGCTGACTTATCCACAGAACCCCAGGGAAAGAGAGACAGGCTCTGCGCTGAGAAGGGCTTGGGATGGTCCAGGAAAAGGGCGCAGCTCACAACTGTTGCTCAGCATCTCCAGAGGACCACTGCTCACCATCAGGATGCTGTGAAGTCCAGTGCACGAGGCAGAGGGGAGACAGGAAGGTCACAGCGAGTCCCCCAAAAGCTGGGCAACACCTGCAGGTGGCACATGGACAGTGCAGGAAGGGAGGTGCAGTGGAATTGCCAGGTCACAGCCTGAACCACTGCGTGAGCACACGAGTACCTCGAGCGGGGAGCCTTCCTCTCTCTCCATGTCAGCAGTGCTCCCAGCAGCACACACACAGTCAGCCTGCACAGCTCTCCTCCCCACACCCCTCAGCCCCCTTTCACTTTTCAGCACACCGCAGTTCAAACACAGAAGGCTGCATTCCTCAGCTCACCGCTTTCTGCCAAACTGTTGCTGGGAGGGATGAGTCGATTCCTCTTGCTGTGATATCCTGTCCTATAGCTCCTGTATCTCAAATAAAGGCTCTGCCATCGCCTTGTTTGCTTTACAGGTGGGAAGGGGCAGAGGACGTCTGTAACAACCAGAATGATCAGTGCAGTGGGAGGAGGTGTAACCACAAAGGGACTGGCACAACAGATGGTGTTACAAAGAAAAGGGAAAGTGCTCAGCTGTCCCTGAAGATCCAGGCTCACGGGGAAAACTCCACAAGGGAGGGATCTCCAACCAGAGATCCTTGCCCAGTGCAGGGTCAGCCCTTCAGTGAGGTCTAAGAGAGGTGCAGCCGGGCTCCCCTCATTCCATCATACAACTGAACTGCCCTCACCTGTGCTCCCAGGGCTGGCTGGGTCCTTTCCCCAGATGCTCCATCAGTGGATCAGGCCCTGACTCAACACTCACCAGAGAGCATTTCTCAACAGATAACAGCCAAAGGGGGAAAGGGTTATTCCCCTGCTGCCCGTAACAATCACATTCTGCTGTGCTGGTTGGCACAGCTGACAACAGGATCTTCTCATGAGCCAGCAGGACGAGGAAGTGAGCAGAGCTTTTGGAAATGTGCCTGCTGTCAGGGTGGGAGTTTGGGCCTGCCCCAGCACCGTGCATTGCCACCACACGACACGGGAGGTGGCAAAGGTGTCGCAGCCAGTGGGAGAGCTGGTGGAGCAGGAGGAAGCTTGGATGCCTGGCAGGTGGAGGGGACGTGAGGTAGCCTCATCCATCACAGCCATGGGCAGCGCAGACAGACGGCCATCGGACGTGGGTCGTCATGGGGCTGGCCGTGGTCACTGCGGAGAAGGGAAGAGCGTGGTCAGCAGTCATGGAGGCAGAGCAGAGTTGCAGGGTTTCAAGCTGCGCAAAATAACCTTTGTCTCATTTTGTCTTCAGAGTGACTCAAAAACCAACCCCAGCTCTGTCACAGCCTGGGCAGAGCACGGCAAAGGAACCCTAAACCTGTCGGTTCCCTTCCTACACCCCTCAGATCACTCACAGAATCCCCTCTCCCTTCAGCAATCCCAATCTCCCCAGGGGCAAGGACCACAGGGCTCTTCCTTGGTCAAGAACTCCCCATCCACCTCTCAAAGCTCTTGCACAGCTCAGGCATCTTCAGCTCTGTCATACCAGCAGGTGGAGTCCATGCCCCCACTTGCCACAGCTTCGCAAGCTCTCACCTGCTTTTGCACTGCACACAACAAATTGCAACAGCGTCGCATGCCCCTACCTGCTTTTGGTTTGCAACGTGCCAATAGCCTGCCTTTGCACTGCCCATGCCAGCCTGCCTCTGTGCCACACACACGCCCCTTTTGCTGACCACTGCAGAAGGAGATAATGCTTGTGCATGGCAACGAAGGTACCACTCCCTGCTGGATTGTCTGGTGGGCCAGGTATGCCGTGCTAACAGAGAGAAAAGAAGAAAAACAACTGAGAGATGGAGAAAGAAGGCCCTCACTAAACTACGGATTTGGGGGCTCTCTAACACACCTGTTGTCTCAGCTCAGTTCACAGTTACTTCAAATGCACACAGCACCTGCAAAGAATCAGGCTCCAACAAGGAAGGAAAACAAATCCGGGACGCAGTGAAGGGCTCCCAGCTCTCGGTGGGTGATGCCTGCTCCGTGTACACAGCATGCAGATAAACACAGGGCAAAAATAAACAAGAGCAGAAGAAAAGAAGAAGAAGAAGAAAGGATGCAGGTAAGAAAGAAGTGGGGAAGAATGAAAAGTGCAATAGAGAAAACGGTTGGATACAGGCAAGACAGCAAAGAAATGAGGAGATGAGCAGAAGAGGAAGAGCAGAAGCATAAAAGAGAGGATGAAGGTAAGAAAGACGTGCAGATGAGAAGAGCAGAAAGGGAGGGGAGCCAAGACAGGTAAGACAGAAAAGCACAAGTGGAGAGCAGCTGAAGAGAAGAAGAAGATGGGCAGAGAGGACACAGGCCAGGGAGAAGCGAAACAGAACAGAAGGAAGGAAGAGAGCACAGAAGAGCAGAGAAGGAAAAGAGCAGTAAAGAAGAAGAGCACATAGTGGTCAGAACAGAAGAACAGGAGAGCATTAGATGTGCAAGGAGGATACAGTGAAGTCAGAAGAGCTGATGAGGAGAACAGGAGAAGAGAGGAGACGGGTAAGAAAAGCAGAAGAGGAGCACAGATGCAGGAGAGGAGTCAGGATAGAAGGAAGAAAGAACAGCAGATGAGCAGAAAAAGGAGGATAACACGAAGGGAGAAGAGCTGAAGAGCAGGTGAGGAAGAGAGAAGAGGGAAGCACAGAAGAGGGAAGAGCAGAAAAGACAACGCTGTCTGCTCTGTCCTCGCTAGCAATGCCCCAAGACACAGCCAAAGCGAGGAGAAAAGCCCATGATGTAAAGTTAGCCATGTTCTGGTGGCACACAGCACCAGTTCACAGCAACAAGCTCGGCATACGCTGCACGGGCCTTGACTCATTCCTGCACTGCTCTCAGCCCAATCAGGGCTGTCCCACCGAAATCACTCCTTTCCATTGTCACCTGTATAACTGCCCTCCCACAGCTGCCACCACTTTCCAGAACTGGTAAGTAATGCTGGCAGTTTAAGTCCTTGGCCACGGGCTGGATAAACACGGTTTTGGGTGGTGACAACTGGCAATCGCTTGGACGGATATCCTGAGTGGGAGGGGAAACCATCCCTGGGGTGAGAACGCACTGCAGGGATGGCAAATCCCCACTGGGACGGGCAGAGCCTCGGGAAGGAAGGGCACTGGGCTGCCAAATGCCCATCCATACGGTCACTGATCGTTGGGATGGGAACGACTGGGATGGGAAGGAGGTCTGGGTACGAAAAGGCAAAGCACGGCAAGCCGGGGGGAAAGGGGCTGAGCCCAAGGGTCACGGAACCCCCGTGGGGAAGGGGCTCCCCCAGAGGCCACTCTCCAGCTGCCACGGCAGGTAAGGCAGCAGCTCCCCCTGCTCTGACGCTCCAGCTGACCCCTGTGCCCCAGATCCCACTCCTGTGACCCGGATCTCACCCCAGTGCCCCAGATCTCATTCCAGCGCCCCTTCTGGCATTTCCCCACAGAGAGATTCCCTCGAGGAGCGCTGACGGTGCCTCTGACACCCGACGCCGTTCTCGCTGATGCGACTGCGCCGCCACCGGACCCCGCCTGGATGCAGCCCACCGTCCGCAGACCGACGCCGGTACCCCAACCCTTCCCTGTCCCCACTGCCACCCACCTGGCACCGCAGCCCTCTGCCTGGCCCGGGGTTCCAGGTGCCTGGGGACAGGCAGCGCAGCTCCCACCCGGGGGGCCGCCCCCAACTCCGGCTCAGCTGCCACCCTGCACTCACCGGTGCTGCTTCGCTCTCATGGGCAGAAAGCGGCATTGGCGGCACACTTGAAGTGTTGATATGAAACCTGGTATTTCTGGGGGAAATATCATATTCCTGAAAAAGAAATCATATTTGCAAAGGAAATGCAAATGCAGCACATCCCTGCACCATCCCAGCACATGCCATCACATCTCATCACCTTCCAAGCACCATCCCAGCACATCCCAGCATTGCTCCAGCATATCCAATCACATCCCAGCACCATCCCAGCATCTTTCCAGTACATCCCAGCACATCCCAGCACCATCCCAGCACATCCCATCAGCATCCCAGCACATCCCATCAGCATCCCAGCACATCCCAGCACCATCCCAGCACGTCCCAGCATTGCTCCAGCATATCCAATCACATCCCAGCACCATCCCAGCATCTTTCCAGCACACCCCAGCACATCCCAGCACATCCCAGCACACCCCAGCACATCCCAGCACACCCCAGCACATCCCAGCACCATCCCAGCAAGTCCCAGCACCATCCAATCACAATCCTGGATGCCTACCTGTGCGACCTGGTTTAGGGAACCTGCTTTGGCAGGGGGGGTTGGTCTTGAGGATTTCTAGAGATCCCTTCCAACCCCTACAATTCTGTGATTCTGTAATCCCTGCTCCATCCCAGCACATCCCATTACGTCCAGGGAGCATCCCAGCACCATCCCAATGCACATCACCACTTCCAAGCCCCATCCTACCACCATCCCAGCAGCATCCCTGCTCCACCCCAACACCATCCCAGCACATCTCAGCACGCCCCATCACCATCCCTGCTCCATTCCATCACCACCCAAGCACATATCAGCACTTCCCAGAATCATCCCAGCACCATCCCAGAACATCTCTGCATATCCAGGCATCAACCCAGCACACTTCTACACTTCCAAGCACCATCCCAGCACATCCCAGCACCATCCCATCACCATCTCAGCACATGCCAGCACATCCCAGCAGCATTTCAACAGATCCCAGCACTTCCCTGCACATCTGGACACCATCCCAGCACATCCCAGCAACATTCCAGCACATTCCAGCACCATCACTGCACAGGCCAGTACATCCCAGCAGCATCTCTACACATCTGAACACTTCCTGCACATCCGGGTATCATCCCAGCACATCCCAGCACATCCCAGTACATCCCAGCACATCTCTGCACATCTGGGCTCCATCCCTGCACCACTACAACACTGTCCCAGCACATCCCAGCACATCCCAGCACCATACCAGCACATTCCAATACCATCCCAGAACATCCCAGCACCATTCCAGCACAATCCAGTACCATCACATCACCATCGCATCACCATCCCAAACGATCCCAGCAACACCCAGAAGCATCCCAGCACAACCCTGCATATCCCAGCACATCCCAGCACCTCCCACCACCACCCCACACAATACCAGTACCATTGGACACCAACCCACACCATCCCAGCACATACCAGTACCATCCCTGCACCACCCCCTCATATACCAGTACTATCCCAGCAGCATCCCAGCACATCCCAGTAGCATCCCAGGACCATCCAGATCCATCCCAGCACATCCCAGGTTTCTCATTTGTCTGGCCTTTCCTTTACTTCTTGCAGTTCCTCCTGAGAAGTCTTTGCTTGAGGCAGACTGTGGGTGACGCTGTCGCTGGTATCCTTACATGCTAACAGTCCCTCGAAAGCCATCTGCAACAAGGCCGAATTGCGTTTCTCTTTCTAACTGTTCCTCGCCATTAACTATTTGGTTCCGCAGAGTTTTTACCCATTCTGTGTAACTCTCGCCGATTCCTGTCGTGCTTCTATGGTTTGTTGTTCTGCCGAATGCTTTTCATCTCGGAACTCCACGGCAGCTTTTAAAGCGGCCCCGAGCACGGCACAAACAAACGACTTTCCTTTTCCAGCTGTGTCCCAGCCTCATTCTGTAAGGCGCTAATGCGGTCCAAACACTGCAAATGATGCCCATTTTGGCGAGCCCGGCCCAGCCCTGATCGAGAGGGACGAGCACCGTGCTTTTGTGAAAGGTCCAATAACGCGGCTTCACTTCTCCGACCGGCAACACCGTCACTCATTTCGTAACGCCATGGGAGACCCCCGCTAAGGGAGGAGGAGGAGCACGTCTTCAAAAGCTCAGTGACTCCTCACCGCTCCTCCCAAGGAGGCACCACGCCTGAACAAATGCGAATGCTCCCATCGCGCCTCCTTTTGTTGAGGGGAGCGCACAAATCAAGAGGCTAAAAAGCTGCGAACACCACACCCGAGTTACAAGACACGCTGCAGTTCACTTTTTGCAACTCCAGGAGCTGCTCACCGCTCAAACCACTCCTCCCTTTCTTTGGGGCAGCACAAAAAGTGCCAAGAAGCTAAAGCTACACTGTGTAGGTTTCAATAGAGAGAATAAAAGGTCTTGGAGAGGCACACACGTTTAAGTCAAAATATCACTTCCTCACTTCCCCAAGAGCGCGCACACACACAAACAAAATGCAAACAGTCAAAATACGCCCCCGACAGGGACTCACGTAAAAGGTAAAGGTTCAGAATACGGAGCGGCCTTCCTGGAGAAGGACTCACGTCTCAATGTTCAAAAAGGTCGCTCCTTGCAACTCCTTGCACACAGAGAGGTTTCAAACTGCACCCGGAAGGACTCACAGCGGGTATCCTGCCACGGCTGCCAGTAACAAAACGTCTCGCTCCAACTTACAGGAGGGAGATGAGGTTCTTTTAATATCTGTATGCCCGGCGTGAGATTAAGAAACAACGGTTCATGTGTTAGTCCGACCGGTTTGTTACAAATCCTCATCAGGGAGACAGGGAAGGGAAGGAGGGCGACCGAAAAGATGGGAAAGAAGCAAGAATTGCGTCAAGCGGGGATGGTCACCGCCAGGATCCAGCAGCGTCCCGTTGCACGGCGTTTGAAGGTCCGAGGCAGAAGCAGCGGGGGGGGAGCAGCAGCGTGGCGGCCTTGGGCAGCGAGCAGGCAGCAGGAGGCGGCCGCGGAGCCATGCGGGAGGAAGCAGCAGCGCTCGGGCAGCAGCCCAGGAGAGTTCGGCAGCATGCAGGCGTCACTTGGTGAGGAGGCTGCTGCCAGAAAGCCTCTGTTCTTCATCAGGAATCTGCTGCCAGAAAGCCTCTGTTCTCCTTCATCAGGAATCTGTTGTCAGAAAGCCTCTGTTCTTCATCAGGAATCTGTTGCCAGAAAGCCTCTGTTCTTCATCAGGAATCTGCTGCCAGAAAGCCTCTGTTCTCCTTCATCAGGAATCTGCTGCCAGAAAGCCTCTGTTCTTCATCAGGAATCTGTTGCCAGAAAGCCTCTGTTCTTCTTCATCAGGAATCTGTTGCCAGAAAGCCTCTGTTCTCCTTCATCAGGAATCTGTTGCCAGAAAGCCTCTGGTCTCCTTCATCAGGAATCTGCTGCCAGGAAAACTATCCTCGTGGTTTTCGATTCCCTTTTATCCTCCTTGTTCTCCTGCCTACGTGACAAGGATGGGTCTTGAGCAAGAGTCACTGAGTGCCCCCTGAGATGGCCGTCATCCTGAGGTAAGTCCGCACAAAAGAGCACTTCACAGCCACTTAGCTGCAGCTCATCTCCCCTCCTTGCCCCTGGCCTCGTCCCCCCCAGACAAAGGATTTCACAACCCTTGCTCAGGACTTGCCTGCACTTGCACAAGTCCATCTGTGTCCCCAGCAAGCTTTGAGACGCTGAGGTTAACAGAAGAATATCTTACACATCCCAGCTCCATTGCGGGTCCTCCCAGCAGCATCCTACACCATCCCAGCACATCCAGGCACATCCCAGCACCACACCAGCACCACCCCACACCATACCAGTACCATCGGACCCCATCCCACACCGTCCCAGTAGGTCCAAGTACCATCCCAGATCGTCTCAGCACCATCCCATCACATTCCCAGCACCATCCCAGCACCACCCCAGCATATACCACTACTACCCCAGCACCATCCCAGCACATCCCAGCACATCCCAGCACCACCCCACACAATACCAGTACCACCGGACACCAACCCACACCATCCCAGCACATACAAGTACCATCCCAGATCCTCTTAGCACCATCCCAGCACATTCCATTACCATCCCAGCCCCACTGCAGCATATACAAGTACTATGCCAGTAGCATCCCAGCACCATCCCAGCACCATCCCACACCATCTGAACATGTACCATTTCCAACCCAGCACATCCCAGCACAACCCCAGCATCTTCCCACCTCATCCCACACAATCCTAGCACATCGCAGCACAATCCCACGCCATCTCAGCACATACCAATACCATTGCAGCACAACTCCAGCACATCCCAGCACAATCATACACCATCCCAGAACATCCATGCACATCCCATCTCCTGCCAGCATCATCCAAGCACCTTCCCGCATCATCTCATACCATCCCAGCACATCCCACACCATCCCAGCACACACCATTTCCATCCCAGCACATCCCAGGGCCACCCCAGCACCTTCCAACACCATCCCACGCCATCCTAGCACATTGCAGAACAATCCCAGCACATCCCAGCACCATTCCAGCACATCCCAGCACCATCCTAGCTGAAACGAGTACCATCCCAGCACCACTGCGTGTCTTCCCAGCAGCATCCTACACCATCCCAGCACACCCAAGCATATCCCAGCCATCCCAGCACTATACCAGCACATCCCAGCACATCCCAGCACCATACCAGCACCATCCTAGTACCAGCAGGCACCAACCCACACCATCCCAGCACATAACAGTACCATCCCAGCTCATCTCAGCACCATCCCAGCTCAAACAAGTACCAAACCAGCACCATCCCAGCACATCCCACCACGATCCCAGCACCTCCCACCACCACCCCACACAATACCAGTACCACTGGACACCAACCCACACCATCCCAGCACATACCAGTACCATCCCAGCACCACCCCCTCATATACCCGTACTATCCCAGCAGCATCCCAGCACATCCCAGCACCATCCCACACCATCCCAGCACATCCCAGCACCATCCCACACCATCCCAGCACATCCCAGCACATCCCAGCACCATCCCATCACCATCACAGCACATGCCAGCACATCCCAGCAGCATTTCAACAGATCCCAGCACTTCCCTGCACATCTGGACACCATCCCAGCACATCCCAGCAACATTCCAGCACATTCCAGCACCATCACTGCACAGGCCAGTACATCCCAGCAGCATCTCTACACATCTGAACACTTCCTGCACATCCAGGTATCATCCCAGCACCATCCCAGCACATCCCAGCACATCTCAGCACATCCGGGCTCCATCCCTGCACCACTACACCATTATCCCAGCACATCCCAGCACCATTCCAGCACAATCCAGTACCATCACATCACCATCTCATCACCATCCCAAACGATCCCAGCAACACCCAGCAGCATCCCAGCACATCCCAGCACATCCCAGCACCTCCCACCACCACCCCACACAATACCAGTACCATTGGACACCAACCCACACCATCCCAGCACATACCAGTACCATCCCAGCACCACCCCCTCATATACCAGTACTATCCCAGCAGCATCCCAGCACATCCCAGCACCATCCCACACCATCCCAGCACATCCCAGCACCATCCCACACCATCCCAGCACATCCCAGCACATCCCAGCACCATCCCAGCACATCCCAGCACCATCCCACACCATCCCAGCACATCCCAGCACATCCCAGCACCATCCCAGCACATCCCAGCACATCCCAGCACATCCCAGCACCATCCCACACCATCCCAGCACATCCCAGCACATCCCAGCACCATCCCACACCATTCCAGCACATTCCAGCACATCCCAGCACCATCCCTCACAACCCCAAACCATCCCACACCATCCCAGTGTGGGAATCAAATGTTGTTTCTGCATTAGAATTGGATAATATTGTTTTTATTTCATGATATCCGCTATCATAGTTCTTTTTGGGACTCCTACTTCACTTGGGGAAGATCTCTGATAGTTTACATCACTGATCCTCTGGACGAACCTTCCCAGGCACGCACACTCTGTATAGAGGTGTATAGATGTATATTTTGTCATACACACTGCAAGAATATCCTGCACGAGAGCAAACCAGAGAACAGTGATGGCAGCCCGAGGAAGCGCCTCGAGAGACATCGGAAGGTCTGGCATCATCCCCAGAGCTCTTTGTTCAACGCAGACTTTAAAGAAAATCACCATATCAATACAAAGAGAGCACCGAGACAGCTTGGAAACAACAGGACGGCTGCTGACTGAGAGCAGGTAACAAATAAATTAACAAGTAAATAGCAAATGTCAACCTTCTGTAAGATTGTGAACCTGGAGCACGCAGCCAGTGGGGAAACAGGGGAGGGGGGAGGCAAGGGGGAGCAAACAGGGTCTAAAGGCTGCCATGTCGTGTCCATAGGCGCTGCTGCTTGCGGGACGCCGCCGTTGCAATCGCGAATAAATTCTGCTTTATCAGAGATACCGTCCTGACAAACGTGACTTGGATATTTCCACAATCTGGGGGCTCGTCCGGGATTATGATCGCCTCTGTGGGAGTTTCCCTACCGCCCTGCACAGGATAGGGGCTCCCCGCTGATGGCAGCGGTCCTGTCTGGGTGCTGAGGTGCCTCGTTGGGACGGCCGATAAAAAGCCGAGACTGTTCCATAGGGACGGGCTCTGTGAAAGCCAAGGGGCCGGCAGGCACGGGTGTTGGCCATGGCGACCCGGTAAGTTCGCGCTCGGACCAAGGTAAGGGGATTTAACTCTTTCCTTGGGGTCGGCTGAGACTCAGTGCGTGTGACTGAGACGCGCCGTCAGCGCGAAGCGAGCGCTGAGTGCCGAGTGCGGCTCCGCTGCGCCGCGAGGGGCGACGGCCAGGGACGGAAGGAGCGGCTGCTGGTGGAAGGAAGAGTCTCGGGAGGAGCTGCTGTGTGCGGCACCCTGTGCGCTTGAAGTGCCAGCAGTGCGGCCCTATTAACCCGAGAGATGGGAGTGTAGTACTGCTGAGGGACTGGGCCAAAATCCGAGCGTCGGGGGGGGTAAGCTGTGAGCTGGGGAGTTCAGGGCAGCGTTCTGGAGGGATGGGGAATAGGAGTTGTGAGAGCAGGGGGAAAAGGTCCCCGGAATGGTGCCTAGAGATTGCGCCTTGGGAGAGGTGCTTCAGAACTGGGAAATAATCCCAAAACTAGGGACAAGGACGGGGAAGAGAGCCCTGGGTTGTATTTTGGCTCACTGGAGAAACAGTGCTGGTGAGCCAGGGGAATATTGAATAAGAAACCGGGAACGTAAATGGAGTAATGGGAGCAGTTGTAGAATTGAGTGCCCGAATCATGAGAGCAAGTGCTGGGTGTGTGTGGAAGCTGAGGAACTGTATTGCTTGATTTGTGGATTGTGAAGGCACTGGGAGAAACTGTTTTAATGGGATGTGGAAATGCAGCTGTTAACGGGATGTGGAAATGCAGTTGAGGGTACAAATAGTGGAATTGTGGAAAAAGAAACAAACAAACAAATAAAACGTCAAAAAGGTGAAGGAAAGCAGTGAGTTTGGGATCTTAGAGTTGGGCCGGCACGAGAACACATCCCCGCACCACCCCCCCCT